TATATGAGTACCTACTGGCAAGGTGCCAACCAGCTGGTTGGTAAGGTCTCCTGCTGGTTGTAGCGGAGACATGGGATTGAATCCTGCCTGACCTGGGGTGGGGGGTTATGAGTTGGGGGATGGGCTACCCCCCCGTTGTGTAGCCCTTTCAAATGATACCGAAAAAAAAAAGAGTATTGAGTACCTACTGAATGTCATTATGCCTCTTGTTTTGTTGCATTACAGTGAAATTTCAACTTTGATACTCTAGTCTGTGGTGAATTTCTATGTGTTCAGTTTAATGACCTTAACAGTACTTACATGTCCTTGTCTGCCCAAGGCGTGAAGTGAAGCGCTTTATTGATCTCACTGCTGATGAGATTAGTGATTTATGGCTCACAGCACAGAAGGTTGGTTGTCAGCTTGAGCATCATCACAAAGCATCTTCTCTTACGTTTACAATCCAAGTAAGACTACAAAGAATCAACTTCATCTTCTTTTCTTCAAGTTCCAATTTTTCAACTTTAATAATTTCAAACAAATTTGCTTTTTTGTTTTTATTGCATGCCTTGACTTCTAGAAATATTTATCACATTTAAAATGTTTAAATCTCAAAGTTCAAAATCTTGTTTTTCAACTAGTATTGTTGTAAAAGTTTAGATAATTGAGTTTTTATTACTTTTCAAATAGTGTTCGGTATAGATGGTATCCCCTTATTATATCTTTGTAGAGGGTAGAAAAAGTCCTTTGTTTTTGTCTCAAACAAAAACAAGGTTTAAAATGTCGGTGTCGGTGGTAATGTTGGTCGTCCAAATATAGGAACATATCGGAAATGGCAGAAATATCATATAGAAATATTGTAAAAACTATAGACATGATGGGAACATTGTAAAATATGCATAAATATAGAATGTTATTTTATGAAATGATAAAAGAAGCATTGACGCACCTTTTTAAATTATTATCTTCTTCTAAATAATTAAACAAAGCTAAGAAACTAAGGTTATAGAAAAAAGAATACATTCTGAAGTTGTCCTGTAAAAGATTCAAAACTACATGCTAGAATGAGTTAAAACAAAATTTAAACTCATATAAAATGCACATGTTTGAAATTAATGAGCTGGTTTGAAGTGATAATCATGTAAGTTACGCGGGCAATAATTTTGCTACTCCACATATCTACAATATTGTTACCAGCGTATGTTATAATACTATCTCTATTCTCTTGCACTTCATATAGTGGTGGTAGTGTTTATTGGGGAATATAGTAATATTTCGTGTCGCTACCCATGTAAATGGAAATTTGCCATGGAATCAATCTGTTGTACTCTACATAGTGCTGGTAGTGTTCACTGGGGAATATGCCAATTCCAGTAAAATTTCGTGTCACTACCCATGGGAATGAAAAAATGTTGTGGAAATATTAGGAAAGTTAGGGACATTTTAAACCACGAATAAAACATACACAAACCAAAGAATGAAAATTATAATCATTTGATTATGGTTGCCATTTGACTCCCTTTTAAATATCTTTGAAAATTTTGAGAAATTGATGGAGAGCAGAAATTCTAGTGATCAAACACTATATAACTTGATTCTTGAATATGACGATCTTTCCCCTTATTTAATTGAGCTACAAGTCATAATCCTATCAGAAATTTTGATACTTTGGAGGGTAAGACATCAATTTCTACAACGAGCCCAATTCATTCAATTGGGTTGTAGGGAATCTCTTCCTTGAAACGGGGATGGTGGTGTTTTCAGATGGGAGGCAGGTTTGGTAATAGCTCTTTTTTCAGGACCAATTGGATTTTGGGATTCACTGGGAGCAGAAATTTTGGCCTTGATAGAGGGGGTGAAAAGGGCTAAGGAACTAAATATAAACAGGTTGATCATTGAAGGAGATTCACAAGTGGTAATTGGCTGGATAGAGAGTGCAAATGATGGGTTATGGACACACATTAACGAGTGAAGACAATTCAAGTGGTTAACTCAGGGCATGGAAATGCATATGCAGTGGGTTAAAAGGTGTGCCAATTCATTTGCATACGCGTTGGCCAAACAGGGGGTGGGAAGAAGTCATTTGTTTTGGGCTACATTGTAATTTTCTCTTTAGGGTAGAGTTAAGAGAG